GAAGTGAAAGAAGCTGTAAAGAAGAAGAAGAAAGCATGGTTAGACTACTTGGCCTCTAGTAATGATAAGGATATGAGAGAGAAGATGAAAGAAAGATATAGGCTGCAGAAAGTTCACACGAAAGCACTGATTGAGGAAGTGCGTGAAAGGTGTAGAATGGAAGCGGACGAAAGGTTGTCGCACAACTTTAAGGAGAACTCCAAACTCTTCTGGAAAGAGGTTGGAAGGACCCGAAGTGGTGCGACGGCCTTAAGAATGAACAAAGTGCTTTCGAGAACTAATGACGTCATCTCAGAAAAATCGGACGTCATGCAGCGATGGAGCGAATTTTATAGAGAAATGTATGCGTATGATGACCTTAGTGAGGGATCCGGGGATGACGCCGTGACTGGTACGCCAGACCCGGACCTCGATGACACTGAGGTCATCAGTATGAAAGAGATTGAACGTGCGATTCGAAGTTTGAAATGTGGTAAGGCTGCGGGACTAGACAGAGTTACTGCTGAAATGGTCAAGTATGGTGGGCCTCGCGTCTGGGACAGCTTTCATCTGCTGTGCAATTTGTGCTGGCAGACGGGGGATGTCCCGGATGATTGGCGATCCGCAGTCATTGTGCCTTTATATAAAGGTAAAGGTTCACATTTTGACTGCGGGTGCTATCGGGCGATCAGCTTGACCAGTTTAGCAAGTAAAGTTTACTCGAAGGTTTTGACACGTAGGATGCAAGAGAAATCGGAAAGATTTCTATGGGAGGCACAATGCGGATTTAGACCTGGAAGAGGATGCACGGATCAAATGTTTTCTCTCCGCATGATCACGGAGAAGCTTCTGGCTGCTAACCAGAAGATTTTCTGTGCTTTTGTGGATCTTGAGAAAGCATTTGATAAGGTTGTAAGGAAGAAAATGTGGGAACTGTTGCCGGGGTATGGTGTGGATGGTCGATTGCTAAGGGCTGTGCAGTCTCTTTACTGTGACTGTAAAGCCTGTGTGCGGGTAGGACATGACCTGTCACCCATGTTTGACGTCCAAACGGGCGTAAAGCAGGGTTGTGTCATGTCTTCCTGGCTGTTCATACTGTATCTCGACAGCTGTTTACAGAAGCTGAAAGATAGCTGTTTGGGTGTGAAATTGGATGACATTAAAGTAAATTGTCTGTTGTATGCTGATGATGCAGTACTTATAGCACCATCAGAGGCAGAACTGCAGGCATTAGTCACGTGTATGAAAGAGGAATGTGAAACTAAAGGTCTCCGTTTGAATGCTAATAAAACTAAGGTTCTGGTATTTGAAAGGGACGAAGAGAGAACGAAGTGTGAAATATGGGTAAATCAGGAATGTCTAGAACAGGTAAATGAAATTGTATACTTGGGGAGTGCTTTTAGCCGGGATGGAAGATGTGATTTAGATGTGGACAGGCGTGTCGCTGCCGGGAACAAAGTCAATGGTGCCCTGACTGCGTTAGTCAAAAGGCAAGGCGTAGCGAAGAGTGCACGCCTTGCAATACATAACGCAGTGTTGGTACCGACTTTGTTATATGGCAGCGAAACCTGGGTATGCCAGAAGAAGCATAAAAGTAAGTTGAATGCAGTGGAGATGCGATCTCTTCGTAAAATGTGCGGCGTTACCATGGCCGACCGAAAGCGAAACGAAGAGATTCGCAATATGGCAGGTTTGAAAGATGACCTTATCACAAAAATTGATAAGGGCGTGCTTCGGTGGTTTGGGCACGTTGAGCGAATGAGTGAAGACCGAATGGTGAAGAAAATATATAGCGCGAAAGTTAATATTAAAAGGTGTCGAGGTAGACCGAGACTAACTTTCGAAGACCATGTGAGCAAATTGCTCGAAGAGGGTAGGGTCAAAAGTACTCGGATACCTAGACGTGCATGCATGAAGAAGATAATGAATCTGAAAGAAGCGAAAGAGGTTTGTAAGGATCGTGACACTTGGCGATCTGTTCTCTCTGGCTACCCCGTCAGGGATTGTGCGTGAAGATAAGTAAGTATAATTGCCTAAAGGTCCCGAGTATGACATATAACTAAAAACTCTTATGTGTACAGTTACACATAAGATATTTTAAGTACCAACTTTTAATTGGGAAGCACATTATAGATCTTGAAATTGGTAAATAAATGATGATTGAATAGTCGTATACACATGAGAGTTTTTGCATTCGATAGAGCTTCAAAATGTGAAAAAGACTGGCGTAAAAAAGCGATTTTGCCTAAAGTGACACATAAGAGGTCTTAAAGTCGCAACGACGATATGTCGATTAGAATAATGAAATAAACAATTCTACCAAAAATAAAGAAATGCATCTTTCAAGCAAAATAAATAGCATAAAAACTGACACTAAATAAATCACCTTGATAATATTAGTGTAATGACCCGAAGTAACATGTAAAAGCGGCAACGGTGCGTAGTGCTCACGCGGCATCGACATAGGTAATTATTTACCTCCACTTTCCCGTTCATAAGTAATAAGGAAAAAAATAAATAAAAAAAGGGCTTTAGCGACTAGAATGTTATTGCTATATATTTTTTTAGTTGTGTATTTTTTAAAGAACGTTATATATATAAAGACCGGATAAGTCTTTTCATTTAATGTGATAACTTTATCGCCAGCCCGTTTATAAAATTCAAATTGAAATGATTAAATTTGAAAATGTCGCCTAATTTTACTGTATTGTAGCCAAGTAACCAATGCCATAATAGGTATTTTGACATAATCTGCAATATTATTTTTATTATATAAAAAGTTTTGGTAGGATAATAAATAAACCAACGATTGATAAAAACAACCTTATATTGGCGTTTTCATGATTTACAACAATATATTTGTATCCAAAAGTGTCCTTAACTAATCCTTATACTAAAATTAAAATATCACTGTTCCGCGCTCGCGAAGAGCTACAGGTACGGTGAAACGGCAATATCGTAGATGCTAAATGACAGTATCATTTAGAATCTACGATATCGTTTTAATTTGTTACCACCTTTGATTATTACATGAGCACCGAGCACGACGCCCTCTGCAATAAGTAATAATCTCGGCGATGTGAATTTCTAAACAACACAAGCAAGATGAAATTGTGACAAAATATTCTAATTCAATAAACTACTTAACATACAGTCCAATTAAAAACATTGTGATATTTCCTAGAAATTCGGTCGCGATATCAATAAATAAATATCTAATACGAACATGTAACAAAAACTAGAAAAATTCTTAACGCCATAATACAAGATAAGTAATAATAAAATCTATTTATTACAAATATGATAAGAACAATATTTCAATTATATCTAGAAACGAGTTATAAATAAGTATTATAGAAAATCAAACATAAAGACCTTTGTACTTATGCGTACATCTTAATGATATTATTGAACAAGATATGAGAGTTTCGTTAATTACATATTTTTGCATAAAAATAAAAATTAATCATAAGCCCATTTAAAAATGCTATCTTGAAAGTTTAGTTGACTCAAGGCTATCAAATAGGTATATTTATTTACAAAGTTATTTTCTCAGTATAATAGTTTTGATGTCAGTCTGCAATTATTGTACCCAAGAAGGCCATATATAACAGCTGCTGTGTCAAATTGTATCTAATAGAAATGTTTTATAAATGTCTAAATCCATCGAGAAATATATTCCAACTAAAAATGTATGTTATAGCAAATATATTCGATTATATTATTTTTAAAATAACGGTGGAAAATAATAACGTCATGTTTTTATTACGTAGCGTTATTATTTCATTTGCACTCAAAATTAACGAGTGGTCATAAAGAGAACCCGTGTATTAATATGCATTGAGTTATATGTACTACGGCATATAACTCAATGTTAATATGAATGTGCTGGAGTGTATGTAACGATTGCTCATCTTCTCAGTAATATCATATACGATTGATAATTAAGATTTTGTTACTATAAAACTGGCATAAATGTACGTATAATAACTGATTTTATCGTACTATAGATTTTAAAATAATTCTTTCAAAATTAATTGTTATATAAAGTTCACATTTTCGTCACATTCCGTGGCAGCATACTTTTTACGCCTTTGTCTTTAGCAACTAGATAAATTCAAAAAATAAATTTTAAAATTGGCGGGAAATTGACCACCGGTGGATTATTATTATTAGTGTTTTAAAATCTAAATAAATACTAGTCTAAGGTGAACTTTGATACGTAAAAGTGATGCGATTTTGTGAATTAAAGATGTGCGTATAGGACTTATAAGTTGAAAGGACGAATCAAATGTTCCGAGGTCGATGTAAACCTCAAGTTTTGAATTTTTAAGAAGTTGAGATAATTATGATTAAACCAGCTGATGTCATTTACTGTCTGCTGGCTTAAATTGTTAAAGTTTTCCAATAAGTCAATAATGTGTTATATCAATATATTGCAGGGAATATTGAACATTATTATAAATAATTTCCTATTACATGACACTGGCAAAAGCAAAACAGCAAAAAAGAGCTAATCAAAGATGTTTTGACCTATAAAACATCTTTGGAGCTAATTTAGCGCCAGTTGATTGCAAAAGATCGATATGTCTGTTAGATGTGTCCAAAATGTTCCCTAACTTTAAGTATCGATTTAAGTAACCCCAAATTTTAGAAATAATAATTCTTTTTACAAATTTGTTTGAACTGTGTTAAAAATAATGCACAATGTGGATTTGATGTATTTTTCACTCACACTTCATGTTACACTACCCGATAGAGTGACCAACTGTTTTTTTGAATAAAATAAAGTATTTTCAATCCCATAAAAATAATGAATCAACAAAAAATGTATGTGACAAGTACACCATGTAATTTGTAAACGTTTAACTCTGTCATTATTCATATAAAACAAAAGTAAAAAAAAATTACGATACTGCGGTATAAGAAATTGCTTTCATGATAACATAGGAGTAGGGGTTTCTTTTAAAGTAATAGGGCCTTTATAGCAGGATTACTGTTCAGTAGGGTCGGTGACCTTACTACCAGACCTTGCATTTTCGGTTGGGGTTCATCGGTGCGCCGGGTGGGCAGCGGAAATCGCGGGCGAACTCCTCCATGTTGGACAGCGGACCTTGAACACGGAAACGACCCGGTGCGTGGAACCCAGTCGTGATGCGAAGCTTGATGGCCTCATTGCGGTACACCGCGCACCACGTGTTCGCCGCACTCAGCCAGAACAACTGCAGCAATAGGAGTCAACTCATCAACACGTTAATAGTAATTATATAGTTTATTGAAATAAAATTAAATAAATAAAAAATATTTCCCAGCTCTTGTCACTAGTGTTTATTGAAATTGAAATACTACCGTGGAAGAAGAGAGACAGAATGTACAAAAAAAAAACAAAGAAATAAAGAAAATAATGCCAACACGTATTAGTGAACTGCGGCGAATCCTATACAAAATCTAGTAGGTACTAGTGTACCGTTACAAAAGTCAACTGGTGAACAAAGGCCTCCCCCATAGATTGCCTTATAGGGGGGATATTTGCCTTTGTTGCCACGCATGGTATGCGGGTTGTCAACCGCATTTTATTTTATACTTTTAAGTCGTTATTAGTAAGGAGCTGCTGCTCGTCTCCTGATTTGCTTTCCTCTGTCGCCTCTTACGACACCCACGGGATGATATGGGGCAGTGGATATTTTTACACCGCCGCTACACAGTAGTGCTAATTTGGCCACACGTCTTTCAGTTAAAATACCACGAAGGACTTGACCCTGGTAGAGTCACATTGCAGATATTTTATGGTTGTAGCACGAATGGGTCGGCTCGACCGGGGTACGATCAGGCTCTCACAGAATACCAGCATAAAATAGCAGGTTAATGCTGTTGTGTTAAGTATGGTGAGTGTAGGTACCCTAATTAGAGGATTCGAGAAATTCTATCTTAGTACTCAGCGGTGACAACGCATCTACATTTTGATTCTTAATCGAGGATAGGTGTAGATTTCTATAGGTCACAGCATCCACCTACTATCATTTGGATTGTGTGCTTGTTTGTGACCCCATATCTTCCCGTGGGTGTCGCAAGAGGCGACAGAGGGAAACTGAGAGAGAAGATCATCTTTCTGATAACACCAAATTACAATGAAAAACTTCGGTTGCCAACCCGCTCGCCAAGCGTGGCAACTATGGCAATATACCCCAGATGACCAGAGTTACAAAAAGACTGCCCCCAGTCCCCCACTATTCTTTTTTTGGCAACGCACGCACTGTGGATTGACGAAAAGATCCTGGAGCTCGAAGAAGAGATAGACAAGTTGCGCTGGGATATTATAGGATTATTGAGGTCCGAAGAGAGGGGCAGGACACAGTAATCCTCGAATCCGGCAACTTGTTCTATCACCGGGAATGCGACCGTCTGTCCCAAGGAGCTGTCGAATTTATCATCCACAAGTGTATGTATAAGGAAATGTATAAGGATATCTCTAAAGCCATGCATTCCTCCAATACCCACTATACGGTGTTAATGAGAGACTTCAACACAAGATATAACGATGAGCTGAAGGTAGGGAAATTTGTAATAGGGCAACGGAACCCAAGGGACCAGCAGCTGGCCGACTTCATGGATAAATAGGGACTCTATATGATGGACTCTTTCTCCCAGAAGCGACCCCACAGAAAGTGGACCCGGTCGAGCCCCGACGGTTCGATAAAAAATAAGATTGACTTCATTATGACGACTAGACGGCAACTGTTCAGTGATGTCTCAGTGATCGCGAGGGTGAAAACTGGTAGCCATCACCGAACGGTTAGAGGCACAATAAACCTAAACGTTAAGTTGGAGAGGTCTCGTCTAATGAAATCAACGCTCCGTCCCCCTCGTGCTCTAATCCAGAGTCCCGAAACCTTTCAGCTCGAGTTACAAAACCGTTTTCAGTACCTAGAAAATTGTAATGCAGTGGACGATATGAATGACAAGCTCGTGGAAACTGTCCCTGCGGTCGGAGCTGAGTTCTGCAAGACCCTCCGCAGAAGAACACAAAAACTCCAATTATACTCTTAATCTCGTGGCGGTTAGTGGAGAAATGACGCTGCAGTCTTCAGCAAATTTGACAGCATACAGGCAACTGAACGGACAGATCATCAAATGCATGCGGCCGGACTTGCGCAACTTTAATACTACTCTAATTGAAGAAGCGAGCGGAACCAGGGCTCCGAAGTCTTTGCCATAGATCTGTCTGCCAGAAACAGGCAACTGTCGAAGCTGAAAACCGAATGTGGGAGCATCGTTTCCGGGACACATGAGATTTTGAATGAGATTGAGAGGTTCTATGGGTAGCTTAACACTTCATCGTTGGAGCCACACGCAAGTGTGAGTAACGATCCAAGAGCAAGTTTTATGCGACACTATTTCGATGATATCCCAGACGTCAGTCTGAACGAGATTAGAAGGGCTCTCCAGCACCATAAAAACAACATGTCCCTGAGCGAGAATGGAATTACAGTGCTTCTGAATGCGGGTGGAAAACCGGTACTTGAAGTCCTTCAGAAGCTCTTTAATTCCGTCTTCCATGGTGACACTACTCCGGAGGCGTGGAGCAGAAGTGCGGTGGTCTTGTTCTTCAAGAAAGGTGACAATGCTCTCTTGAAGAAGTACAGACCGATTTCCCTTCAGAGCCCCGTCTACGTGCTGTTTTCGAGAGTTATTACGAATCGTCTCGCATGCAGACTCCACGACTTCCAGTCTCCCGAACAAACCGGTTTCCGAAAGGGCTTTAGCATCATAGACCATATACATACCCTTCAGCAACTTGTACAGAAGAGTACATTCTGCCACTTTATCTTGCGTATGTGGACTATGAGAAAGCCTTTGTTTCCGTCGCAATTTGATCGGTGCTGCAGTCCACTCAGTAGTGCCAAGTTGAGGTCGGTATATCGAAGTGCTGAAGTGTTTGTACAGTAGGGCTACGATGGGTATCCGAGTACAGACCAGAGCACGAAACCTATTCAACTGCAGAAAGGTGTAAGACAGGCTAACTAAACTCTTCACCGCTGCATTGGAAGCTTTTAAGCTACTGGATTGGAGAGGATACGGTATTAACGTCAATGGCGAGTACATCACTCGCCCACGATTTGTTGACGATATAGGCCTTGGCAGAATCACTGGAGGACCTAAGCACTATGCTTAAGAGCTCAATAGTGTCTCTTTACGGATAGGTCTTAAGATGAACATGTACAAAACAAAAGTCAAGTGGAACGTCCATGTCACACCTATGCCGGTAGTTGTTGGAAGCACTTAGCTCGAAGTTGTTGACGAGTATGTTTACCTGGGGCAAACAGTCCGACTAGATAAGTCCAAATTCGACCGTGAGGTCAATAGACGGATTCATCTCGGCTGGGCAGCGTTTGAGAGATTACGACACATCTTCTCGTAAGGCATACCCCAAAACCTCACAACTAGATTGTACAACCAGTGCGTGTTGCCAGTGATGACCTATGGATCTGAGATGTGGTCCTTCACTGCTGGCCGTATGAGGTCACTCGTCGAGCTATGGAGATGGCATAGGTTCGGGATGTCTCTGCGAGATAGACTTAAAACGAGAAAGTAGAACAACCGATGGGATAGAAAGTATCTCGAGTGGCAGCTTCGTACCGGCAGGCGAAGTGTAGGGCGGCCCCCCGCTAGACGGAGTGACGACCTGGTAAGACATGCAGGAAGTCGGATGCAGGTGGCTCGTGACCGTGCTTAGTGGCATTCCTTGGGGAGGTCTATGTTCAGCAGTGGACTTCTGATGGGCTGTAACAATGATGATGATGATTGTGACCCTTATACTAAATTAAAAAGGTTAGATCGCTCACCTGTTTAGGACTGTAGGCTTCTAGACCTGGCAGGCGTTTTTCCATGCCGTGGCGCTGGGTCCAGGCCTCGTAAGCGTAGTACGCCTCCTTGATACCACCGTTGTCTGCGATATTTTCACCTTGTGTGTTCACGCCGTTCAACTGCACAGGGTACGAAAGACATTTTTTTCACTCATTCTTTTTAATCACTATTAAATAATGTAACTTATCATTACATTTATTTTTAATTTAATCTTCATTGCACATGATCTTCTACTAAACCACGAGCTATGCAGAGAAACTTAAGCAGGTGCCTAATAACACCTAACACCTGTACAAAATATTATCATTAATAGTATTCTAAGAAATTCCATCACAATATCACGGCGGCTTAGTACACATATAATTTATTTTAAATACATAAACATACATACATAAACACTCACGCCTGTCACCCAGAGGGGTAGGCAGAGATTATGGTCTTCCATTTGGCACGATCCTGACACACCTCTCTCGCTTCCTCCACATCCATATACTTACGCATACACGCTCGTCGGTTAAAGGTACTCTTGATATGGCCCATTTTTAATATATCGCCAATTTGGTCGATAAACTTTCGCCTAGGGCGACCCTTCCCGACTATGCCGTTCACCTCTGCAACATAAATTTGCTTTGTCACTCTTTCCTCATTCATTCTTTCTACATGGCCAAACCACCGAAGCATTCCTTTCTTAATCCTGGTCACAACATCATCTTGCAAACCACACTCTTCTCTTATTAAACAATTTCTCACTCTGTCATTCAGCTTCATCCCTAACATACTCCTTAATAATAAATTAACGAAATTATTTTAAATACTAGTAATATTATTAAACATTACTTATATTCCCTTTAATCCCTTACTGGTAAGCATAAAATACTGGTGTTAGGAGTGGTTCACGACTGTAGTTGAATGCCGGATTCGATTAGGCTACTGACGCTTCTTAAAACTTTAAAAACTTATCGTTAAAAATGTTGATGGGAAGTGCCATAGAAATCTTATATTCGGTATTTGTATTCTTTATTATATTCTATTCTATTCGGTTAAGAACTAGAAACTACTTCCGTTTATTAAAGCCTGTAAATGTCCACTGCTGAACATAGGCCTCCGTCATATATTGTTTCTTAGGGGGAAGTTTTGCCACAGTTGCCACGCTTGGCAGACGGGTGGGCAACCATAGTTTTTTTATTATTTTAAGCTGTTATCAGAAAGATGTTGCTGCCCATCTACTGGTTCCGTGTAAGATATTCGATTACGTGGTTTAAGAATAACTACCACCCTATATTATAATTGATATCGCGTAAAAATACGTTCGTGTTCGATTTATTGGTAGTTGTGGTGGTGCGAGAAAAGAGGTGGCAGATCGTAGACATATTTGTACTATCCCTATGTACTTTACTTGAAGGCAACCCGGTGTCGATTAGATAAATATAAATAAATAAAATATTGCAAAGGTATACTTGGTTAAGTTTTAATTAATATTTCCTATGATATACAGAGTACAGACTGAATCAAAATCCCTAAGTATACATACTAAATTAATTGATCATCAACTTTTTTTGTTCTAGAATGGAAAAAGGCAACGACCTTATAAAATAAGGAAGGTGAGTATAAATACTTTATTTTATACCAATTAAAATGAAGTTATATGCATAAAAAGTTCAATCACAAGAAATTTGTTCGTAATTTATAATTTCCTCGATGCTCGACGATATTAATTACTCTGAGAGTGGTCTACTATCTATTGTCCCACAGATTATACAGGGTTATTTTGCAATAACCGGCCAAAGCAGAGATGGTTCAGAATAAGTGATGTAGGCTAATGGTGAAGAAAAATTAATAAAAAAATCTCAAACATTCTATCCTTTTTATATTTTAAATTCAAAATGGATGGTAATGAATTATTTTAACTGATTTTACTGCACATGCACACATTAGTAACGGTCGATCGGTAGGCAAAAACGTTGTAGCCCAAAAGTAGAAGCCTTATTTATTCGTATTTTCGAAAACTGCAATAACCATTATTTACATACTATTTGAAAGTGAACGCAAGTAAGACGAAAGTTATGGTTTTTGAAAGAGAAGAAAGTAAAACGATATGTGAAATAAGAATAGAAGGGGAGTTGGTAGAGCAAGTAGATGAGTTTGTATATTTGGGATGTGTGTTTAGCAGGGATGGTAGATATGATAAGGATATAGAACGACGAGTGAATGCAGGAAATAAGAGTGAATGGGGCTCTACACTCTATAGTGAAAATTCAGAAATTGTCCAAAAAGGCACGTATGGCAATTCACAATGCTGTGTTAGTACCTACTTTAAGTTGGGTGTGGCAGAAGAAGCACGAGAGTAGAATAAATGCTGTAGAAATGCGGTCATTAAGGAGTATGTTAGGGATGAATCTGAATGACGGAGTGAGAAATTGTTTAATAAGAGAAGAGTGTGGTTTGCAAGATGATGTTGTGGCCAGGATTAAGAAAGGAATGCTTCGGTGGTTTGGCCATGTAGAAAGAATGAATGAGGAAAGAGTGACAAAGCAAATTTATGTTGCAGAGGTGAACGGCAGAGTCGGGAAGGGTCGCCTTAGGTGAAAGTTTATCGACCAAATTGGCGATATATTAAAAATGGGCCAAAAAGAGGTGTGTCAGGATCGTGCCAAATGGAAGTCCATAATCTCTGCCTACCCCTCTGGGTGACAGGCGTGAGTGTTTATGTTATGTTATGTTACATACTATTTGAACTTAAATTTAAAATTTGGCGTCCGTTTGATAAATAGCCCCTGTATACATAAATGTCGAAAATTAACATTACACAATTATGGCAAATGAATTGAGATATTTTATCTGAATCTGACTAGTTATGAAGTTACGGATGGACATATCAGTCGGGTAATGAAAGAAAATATGATCAGCTTCCTTATCTAGTTAAATTTAAGTGAAAAGTGCCGATAATAAAACAAATACACACTCACCTTCAAGCCTACTTCCTTAACCGTGTAGTTAGAATACTGATCAATGATACACTTGGCTTTCTCGAGGTACTTCTGCTTGGTCTCCTCCTGCCACCAGTCGATCAGGTTACCGTTCTTGTCGAATTGGCGACCCTGGCAATTATTTTCTATGGTTAATGTTTATCAACCATAATTCCTCTTTTCACTTACAAACAATACGATGCCTTACTGCTGGGAAGCATTTGGTTAGTGACCGTAAGTGTGGCTGCTGATCACGAGTTCCCAGGCTTGAATTTTGGGTAGGGTCAAAGTCAGTTATTGCGTTATTATGACAAGAAGTTCTCAATGGATGCACGGAGTCAGGAATTTGGCGATGTTTCACCCCCGTGCTTTGGAAAGCACGTAATGCCGTTGGTCCTGCGCCTGATCTCTCTCCGGTCATGGCTAGTCTTCGTTGAGACCGGCCACCGTGACCGACATTTGACGTGGAGGACATTATATAATTATTAATTTTATAGTGTTAGAGCCATGCTGCAGCAATATTATGGTTGTAGTACGAATGGGTCGGCTCGACCGGGGAACAACCACGCTCTCATAGAATACTGGAGTGAGATAGCAGCTTAACACTGCTGTGTTTCGTATGGTGAGTGTAGAGAACCGGAGACCCTTTTTCCTGAATACGAAGCATTCCATCTTAGTGATTCTTAATCGAGGATAAATGTTTATATCTATGTACCACAGCATCCACTTACATACCATTAGGTAGATTCACTTGACGGCTCCGTGTCGCAGTGTCTTAGCAATGAGTTGTTGCGCTGGGGGCCGCAGGTTCGAATCCCGCATGGAACAAGTATTTGTTTGGTCTACAAATAATTGTTCCGGGTCTGGATGTTTATCTTCGTGCAATTTATGTTTGTAAACTGCCTCCACGACACGGGAGAAAATCCTAGTGTGGGGGTAAAGGTTTTTAAAAATAAAACCGGCAAAGTGCGTGTCGGACTCGCGCACCGAGGGTTCCGAACAAATCCGTATGTATATAAGTTTAAAATTATTAAAAATATTTTTATTATATGATGTAACTAAAAATGTATGCTTTTCGCAATTTTTCCTTTATCTGTGCTATAATACATTGCTTCGTACCAAATTTTAAGATTCTGAGTTCACGGGAAGTACCCTGTAGGTTTTGATTCGGCAATCAAAAGAAACGGCTGTATCTTTTGATTGCGTTGGCTTAGAGGTTTGATTTTTTCACAGCTCTAAGGGACAGTAGAGTTAAATATTTGATATGAATTTCAGCTTGATACCTCCACGCGTTCCTGAGAAAAAGGGTCTTGACAGACAGACAGACAGCCTGACAACAAAGTGATCCTATAAAGGTTCCGTTTTTTCCTTTTGAGGTACGAAACCCTAAAAATTAATGAAAAAAATGAAATGAGACTGCACTCGGTTGTCACACACATTATATAAAACAAATTCAGTTCATTGGTTATGTTGAACTTACCTGGTCATCGAATCCATGCGTGATCTCGTGTCCGATGACGAAGCCGATGGCGCCGTAGTTCATGTAAGCGGGCCTCGTAGCCGAGAAGAACGCACCTTGCAGGATACCGGCGGGGAATTCTATTGAAATATGAAAATATATTGTATAGTAGCGGTGTAAGAATATCCGTAGGAGGCGATAGAGGCAAATGAAACCAGGCGCGTCTAAAAGCGTAAAATAAGTATACCGCCATATATAAGGTTAGGAAGCCATTTTTTATAGTATATCCCATAATCGCCTCTTATACCAAATCAATTATCTTATTTACATAGTATCTTTATTTATATAGATGGAGTGACGACCTGGTAAGACGTGCAGGAAGTCGATGGATCCTCTGGATGATAAACTTAGAAATAGAATGGATTCTCTGCGTGATAAACATAGAAATGAGGATAAACTCAGTAGAACTGGAGTAACCGGCATAACCCAACGGATTAGTAAGCTGAAGTGGCAATGGGCCGGCCATATAGCTCGAAGAACCGACAACCGATGGGGAAGAAAGGTTTTCGAGTGGCAGCCTCGTACTGGTAGGCGAAGTGTAGGGCGATCCCCCACTAGATGCAGTGACGACCTTGTAAGACATGCAGGAAGTCGATGGATGCAGATAGCTCAGGATCGTAGTTTGTGGCGTTCCTTGGGGGAGGCTTATGTGCAGCAGTGGACTTGTGAAGAGCTGTAATGATGATTTACATGGCATCTGGATATACTCACGGATGCTGTTCTCGATTGAAGAGTAGAAGGCGTTAACGATGGCGGGACGGCCGTGGGTGACCCAGTCGGTCTTGTTGACCGGTTCACGCAGCTTGCTGAACAGGTACTCCGTGCCGAAGAGCGTCAGGTTCAGCACAGACTCCATCAGCTTGTCCGATGACATCTCCAGCTGTGGAGGATGGAAGATGGGTATGAATGAAGAACTAGAAATATGTGTGGTGACTTTAATTATAAAGAAGTTACCACATATTGGGTAATAAATATTAACAACTATTCTAACTACATTTTACCATAATAAAAATTTCAGAATAATTATTCAAATTATTTGGAAGTTATCACTGTGGTCAAAAGTCGACCAAGGGGGCATTATAGCATCCCATTACATCTTTGGATTCAAGATAAGATACATTTCCACTTGGTAGAGCTCCGCTGTAGCAGAAGTGGGTCGACTCGACCGGGGAAGGACCACGCTCTCTCAAAATACTAGCGTGAAATAGCATCCTAATGCTGCTGTGTTTCGTATGGTGAGTGTAGAGAGTCGGAAATACTTTTACTGAAAATGGAACATTCAATTTTAGTGCTTAGGGGTGACAACATGTCTGTATTTTGATTCTTAATTTGGGATAAATGTAGATATTTGCGGACTACAGCATCAGGTGGACGATGTCTTCGTTTGTCACTCTTATTCTTTAAAAAAAAAAAGATAAAATTGAGTAATTGATACAAAACATTACCAACTCACCCCGGAATAGAACTCTGTGAGTTTATCGTTGTCCAGCATTTCATTGGGGTATGCGATGTGGGCAGCCATAGAGTCCGCTTTGTCCAAGGCGGCGCGACGCGTGGTTTCGTCCATCCATTCTACCTCGGCCAGGGTCCTACGGAACTGTTGCCGGATGTCGTTCACCATCTCGAGAGCGTTGGCCTTTGAGTTCTCGTTGAAGTACTTCCGGATGTAGAGGGCGCCCACCGCGATCGACAAGCTGAGGTGGAGGAAGTAGATACAATTATACAACAAAAATGCAACAAGTAGTTAACTTAGCACAGTTTTATATTCACATTATACATCATTTGTTACAGCACGCACTACTTAAAAAATGTGATAAGTTATGTAAATTTTGTACTCGAGAATGAAATTTTCTTTTACAAGGACTGTGAGTTGAAATGAAGTGATGTAGTTTTAACTAAGTTTAAATAAAATGAATAAGAAGATTATATTCAAAAGTAAGCACATTCTTAAGACAGTCAAGAAAAACGTGTTTAACTCGTGTATTTTGGTCATTAGGTACGACACCGACGCTACAGTATGGTGTGTGTGTGTTTTGTGTGAGGATGGGGGGGGGCAGGTTCTTACCTCATGCTGGCGGTGTCCGCGCACTCCTTCCAGCGGCTCTCGCGCTCCGTCTTGCCGGAGAGCGCGGTGACGTAGGCGAGCTGGCGACGCCGCAGCGACTCCGTCAGGTACGACACAGACGCGCCCGACACGCGCCACATCACGTAGTTTGCCTGCACCCGCCTCGGAGTTTTCTCCAGAAGCATCTGACACCGCACCGTTCCATAATTTACTTATTTAACCAATTTTAAACCTTATATACAGTCAGTTACCGTTACCGGTTACTAAAGTCCACTGCTGAACATACGCCTCTTCCACAACAATGACTATTTGGTGTTTTATGGCGTTCCTTTGAAAAGATCTGTATTACGCAGTGGATTTGTGATTGACTGATTATCACAGTTCATCAAAACTTATAATAAATCTAAACATTAATTCATGAATGAACTTCTTACTGGATTCCTCAGTATAGAACCAACCATTTAAAACAATAGATACATTCTAGCCTTTATTAAGAACATGACGAACTTAGCACATGATAAAAGTGTAAGCAAAAAGTCGAGTCATACCTCTAGATCGGTGATGTACTTGGGCACGTTAACGATGGCGATCTCTTCAAGGCCAACTTTCACGTGCGGAGCCAATAGTCTGTTAATATAGGTCAGCCACGGGATCCTGACGAGAAAACCGATTATATTAAAATGTACAATTAAATACTAGTAATTAAAAATTCAACAATAGATCATAGGTTTGCCGTTCCCCCTATCGGAAAAAATACACAAGCAACTAAAATCAAAATGGAAAAGTTTTTTTTTATCAAACTGAAATAACAAACAATCTTACAGTTCAGTTCACTTGATAATAAGTGGCTACTGAAGTCGATGCATGCATGCAGCCAACTCCAAACAAAGAAAGCTACAAATGCCCTGTCACCCCAACCTTACAAGACGCCTTATGACCTATACCCTCTCTATACCCTTCAAACCGGAACGAATTACAGCGTCATCATCATCGTTCCTCCGCATCACAAGCCCTCTGCTCGGTCGTCGACGATTCGAGCCGCTCTGCACATCCAGCGCAGAGCAGCTCGAATCGTCGACGACCGAGTTCGTTCTGATCGGCTCGATACACTGGCACTGCGTAGAGATGTTGCATCTCTTTGCGTATTTTATCGCATCTATCACGGGGATTGCTCTGAGGAATTGTTCGGACTAATACCAGACGCTCAATTTCACCATCGCACATCGCGGCTGAACTCCCGATACCATCCACACCATCTGGATGATTGGCGGTCCACCACTGTGCGAATTAGAAGATGTTTTCTTCCTCACACAACTTCCTTATGGAATAGTTTACCATCAGCGATTTTTCCGGACCGATACGACTTAGGGACCTTCAAGAAAAGAGCCTACTCCTTTTTAAAAGGCCGGCAACGCATCTGCAATTCCCCTAGTATTGCGGTTGTTCATGGGCGGCGGTAGTCACTTACTATCAGGTGAGCCGCATGATCATTGGCCCCCTATAAAAAAAAAAACATAGACCTCCCCCAAGGAATGCCAGAAGGCACGACCTGAGCTCTCTGCATCCATCGACTTCTTGCATGTCTTACCAAGTCGTCACTACATCTTGTGAAGACTAAATCCCAACGATAACATTTTACAAACTAAACAACTTACACCCGTATACATCTCTAACATTATCTCATGCTTCACTTACTTGGGGAATTTCTGCTGTAACTCGGCTATAGTCATGGGGTTGTACAGACTTGTTGCATTACGGCGTTTCTCCAGTGGCAAGGAAATCTAAAACAGTAATATTATGTCGATATTAAAAAGAAATTCAGTTCCGATTGCGTCAAAATTTTTAGTCGGGTTTAAGATCGAGCTTAGTAATTTCTGTTATACCTGAATCTAGAATCAATCTTTGGGAAGGTGACTTTTTTATATGATAGGGTGACAAACGAGCACACAGTTCACCTTATGGTAAGTGGTTGCTGTAGCCCATAGACATCTACATTTATCCTCGTTTGCGAATCAAAATGCAGATGCGTTGTCACCCGTGAGGACTAAGATGGAATTCCTCTTTTCCAGTAAAAAGGGTCTCCGGTTCTCTACACTCACCATACGAAACACACCAGTGTTAAGCTGCTATTTGACGTTGGTATTCTGCGAGAGCGTGGTCCTTCCCCGGTCGAGCCGACCCATTCATGCTACAACTATACTACTAATATAGCTGTAGCATGGCTCTACCACGTAAAGCCTTGCTGCAAAACTTATATAGGATATCCTCGCTTTTCATTTAGTCATTATTTTAAAAGTCCTATATCAATGAGGCCATCCACTTATGAACGAGATGAATTATTTGACAGATTTCATGATGGGGAAGTTAATTTGTTAAAAAAGTCTAGAGATTAATGTTGGTTTCAAATATTACTTACATTTTATATTAATTAGATTATAGAAGGATTAACCAACCTACGGATATACCTAAAATTATATTTAAAAAAGTATTTAGTTTGAGTAAAATATTAAAGAGAAACAGCACATGCATTGTTTTGTCTACAAACCGAATTTTTTTATTTAAAACTCTATTTTTTTTATAGGATAAGGGTGACAAACGAGCACACAGTCCACCTGATGGTAAGTGGTTGTTGTGGCCCATAGATATCTACATCTATCCTCTATTACAAATCAAAATGCAGATGCGTTGTCACCCGTGAGGACTAAGATGGAATGTCTCATTTCCAGTAAAAAGGGCCACCGGCCACCTGCACTCACCAAGCGAAACGCAGAGGTAAACCTCTACTTCACGCTGGTATTCTGTGAGGTCGTGGTACCACCCCGGTTCGAGCCGGCCCATCCGTGCGACAGCAAAAGCCGCCACGTGGCTCTACCACTGTTGAGCAAAAGCCGCCACGTGGCTCTACCACTGATACACTATTTTTCAATGATGATTACACTGTGCGACCATCAATCCCAACTAGCGACATCTGGTAAATGTAAGTTTATTAGACCTCATTCGCAATGAGCAAGTTGATTATAACATCGAGCTACGTAGATGTCTGTAATCCGGATCCTTGTTTTTCATTCATTTCCTTTACAGTCTATAAAAAGTCCGGTGCTGAACATAGGCCTCCCTCATATTTGCCTCATAAGGGGGATATTTGTCACAGTTGGCATGTTCGGCTGGTGGGTTAAACACTGCAGGTTTTCTCGTTTATTCAAAAAATGCCAATTCATTATTAGTGTTATCTGCTTGGTGTTAAAATTGGGCTTTCCTGGCATATGACATTGCTATGTGGTAGGGCTTTATCTCTGCCTAGGAGCCACTCCTCGTTGGTACCTACACCCAGCGTATTTTCAGTTTGAAGAGTAAGAGATTAATTATAATGCAGGCTATGCGGCATTCCATCTTTGTCCTCAGGACAGACAATTCATCCAGCTAGATAGAAGCTGAAGCATTCTTTCCCAATGCTCAGCTATAAAGACACAGAGACATTCATTCCAACACTTACTCGTACATCTATCTACACGCATGACAAATTACAATTTAAAAAAGTTACTTTTTTTTGGTTCGGTGACAAACGAGCACACAGTCCACCTGATGGTAAGTGTTTGCTGTGACCCATAGACATCTACATTTATCCTCATTAAACCAAATGCACAAACTAAATGCGTCGTCACCCGTGAGAACTGAGATGGAAAGCCTCTTTTCCAGTATAATAGGTCTCGGGTTCTCTACACTCACCATACGAAACACAGCAGTGTCAAGCTGTCATTTTCCACTGGTATTCTGTGGGAGCGTGGTCCTTCCCCGGTCGAGCCGACCCATTCGTGCTACAACTACAGTGGATTTCGGGTGTAACGACGATGGAAGGACCACTCTATTTTCGTAGTTATATGCGGAAGTCGTTATAGGCAAAGGTAACAAATTCAATACATTACAGTTGCTACTCAGAATATCACTTTGTAATTGAACCATAAATTTAACTCAGAAACGTTCACGCTTCTCTACTTACTTAGCTGATATCTATAAACAAAAGGTGAAGATCTCCACACTTGCTGACCATCTGTGTGGATGTAAACAAAAGATAAGAAATATTTGTGAAAGTTAGAAATGTATAAGTCTTTGGCGGCCGACTCCGGTCGCAATATCTGCATGGAATTTCTAGGAATTTGTTACAAATGATTCATTAAAAACAGTCGCTACACCCGAACTCGACGTTACATCCAAAGTCGCTATAGCCACATGAATTTTGTACTAAAATATGCTTTAAATTCAAGGGACTTAGATTTAACGTCGCTATAGGTAAATGTCGCTACAACCAAGGTCGTAATAAATGAAATCTACTGTATACTACTAATATAGCTGCAGCATGGCTCTACCACGTATTAACAATAAACAAAAAAAAAACAAGGAAATAGAATTAAAAAAAAGAATTACGTACATTATATATATATATATATATATATATATATATATATATATATGCAAACACAACATATTAAAATAAAAAATCCTGTGCTAGGATGAAGTGGTGGAAGGGACCGCCTGAGCATAAGACGCAAGATTGCTGCGATGATATTCAGCCGGCCCCGAACAAGTTAGGACGGTCAACTGTATGCGAGCAAGTAATTCTTTTAATCTGTATTCTATACCGCATGTGAGATATGCCGTTATGACGTTGAAGCCCTAGATGGAATTCGCACTGTCTTAGCGTAACAGATCTCTACCGACTTCAATATAAGTTATTATAAGAATAACTCAAAAACTATTGGTAAGACCTTGATCTTTTTATTTATATGCGATCACATGAGACGCACCAGATTTCAAATAAATAAAGATATAAACAAATATAAAAAGAATCATCGAAATCGGTTCGACCAGGAAAAAGTTATGAGGTAATACACATAAAAAACATACAGTCGAAGTGAGTACCGTCTCCTTTTTGAAGCCGGTAGAAAATATAGCTAATATTAAAAAAAAACATTAATCTCTACACTTTTCTAACACATTAGCCTTCCCCAGTTGAAATCTATCAAATATCTCATTACTAAGTGGCGCCGCTCTCTGGTGGCAGAAAAAGTCCTACAGACCAATAGACACCATAATACAATATAATTAGGATTTAATTTGCTCTGGACCTTGAGGCAATGCCTTTACTGTTGGCTCGCGGACGTTGCCTTCGTTTTACATAAAAGCCAACCTGAATCGTAAATCCAACTGTCCGCGGGAAAATTAAACAGTGTTTTGTAATGGCCTCTTGGGTGGCGTCGGTTGTTTATGTTGCCATATTTGGAATTAGGTCGGTTATGTGGGTGTTATCAATTATACGTGGCAGAGCGACGCTGCAGATAATAGGTCAGGGAAAAAGTCTCTCCGTATTTTATACACAAATACCTATAAGACTTTTTTTCAAAGTTTTCACTTTTCATCACCAGTGAACAATCTTTTCAAAAATGGATCGGTTTTATTAAGTTTCAATAGAGAATCGCAAATGAATACACGATTCATTCGGTTTCTGTCATTGATCTCGTGTTTTACCCAAATATCGAGCTTTTTATATAGCCAGACATTTTCAAATGGGTCAAAACTGTTTTGTGGTCAATCCTCGATTAATATGCCGATCTTGTTCCACTTTTTCAAAAATGGCATCGACTTTATTCATAAAAGATGATTTGACATCAAAATTCCCGAACTGAAAATACTTGAACCAACTTTGTGCTACTCTTGCTGAGGCTGCATTAGGTCCATAAACGTCACAAAGTTTTTCTCGGCTTGAATCGTATTTGTCCCTTTTTTGTAATAAAATAAAACTTTAGAATGTATCGAATTTCTTCGTTAGATTCATTTATTTTAGGGGTCAGAAAAACAATTGAAAAATGGCGGGAAAGTGTTTTTTTTTTTTGCTTTTCCTTTTTCTCAATGTCTTAGATATGTATGGATATTAACACCAGCCAGCTACAAACAATACAACTAAAAAAAGAATTCTTCAATTTTATACAAACAAAATATTATGGTTGAAGCACGAATAGGGCAGCTCGACCGTGGAAGGAACTCGCTTTGACAGAATACCAGCGTGAAATAGCAATTCTGGTTTGTACCCTTTGTCACCTCGTATGACACCCACGGGACGATATGGGGGTGGTGGATATTTTTACACCGCCACTGCACGGTTGGAACAAACTTATAGTCCACCTGATTTATCATCGGTTGGTGAATGCCGTGGATACCTGTACCTGTACCGACTTCAAAGCAAAGACTACATATACCTTATAAACCCTGAGGACTAAGATGGAATGTGTCACAGGCTGTAATATCCTTCAGACTTTACGTGGTAGAGCCATGCTGCAGCTATATTAGTAGTATAGTTGTAGCACGAATGGGTCGGCTCGACCGGGGAAGGACCACGCTCTCACAGAAAACCAGCGTAAAATAGCTGCTCTGTTTCGTATGGTGAGTGTAGACAACCGGAGAGCCCTTTTACTGGCAAAGAGGCATTCCATCTTAGTCCTCACGGGTGACAACGCATCTGCATCTTGAGTCTTTATTGAGGATAGATGTAGATGTCTATGGGTCACAGTAACCACTTACCATCAGGTAGACTGTGTGCTCGTTGGTCACCCGATCCTATAAAAAAAAAAACGAAACACAGCAGTGCGCACACTACTTATTGGTGGCAGAAATAGGTAAGGGTTTTACCTACTCACACAGACTTAGGACTAGTAACCGTACCTGATACGAGAATACTTACATTGGCAAGTTTCATCTCAAACTGCAGCGACTCCTTCAGCTCAACCTCGGCGCGGCTCCTCTCAGCTCCCAGGAGCACCGCAATGTCTACCATATATTCGTAGTACGCTTGCACCAGTTTGTCGCTGAAACCCCTGTTCAGGTACTCCCGACTGAGCCCCAAAGATGCCTGGTCCAGCTGTTGATAATCCGGGTAAATGAAAAATCATTGGCAACACTTGTGGACATAGCAGATGACCGTGTCCTTGACATTGCACACATAGAGTATTAGCGCTAGCTTTGTTATATTGCAAAATTCATGTTTTGAGTCTAGAATACAAGATTAAATTATCTTGAAAACAATAATATTATAACGTTTAAAACAATAACGTTCAAGGAGTCAATGCACGCGTCAAATTTCAATTTTCCACTAAAGAAGAAAGCGTCACAGAAGAAAGTTCCCTAAATAGTGTTTAGTTATGTTTTTTTTTATATCTCAGGTTATATACCTTATATATTGCTATGGGTTAATGTCTATTTATTTCTTTGACAATTTATGTATAGACAATGTATTGTTCAAAGTAAAAATAAAAAGATATTTTATGTTATTTAATGTTCTTAGTTAAAAATTATGTCCTTGATGTCTGAAATAAAGATATTGTATTGTATTGTACTAAAGTGCTACGAAATACAGAAACCTCTTTTATTAAACGCAAGACGCCATATTGCAAAAATAATGTAGATATATTAGATACATTTTGAATACTTTCAAAAGCTACCAGCATTATCAACATGTGGGGAATTCCCCAAATTGCGGGGATTTTTGGGGATAGTTATTATGCGGGGAAAATGCGGGGATTTTGAAAATCGGCAACTTTTGTGTATCATTTAATGCTTTTCATTTATCTATTTTTTTTTAATTTTAAAGCAGAGAACTGCATGCGTATAAATGCAAATACTATGGTACTTTTTAATGGCAACAAGGGAAGGAATCTTATAAAATTTATTGAAAATTGTTTCATTTCTTAAAATAAAATTAAGGAGAATTTATGGGCAATCTGTTGAAGTTTTGTCCGTAAATTGGAGCATTTCACATGGCTTTTCGGGGAATTTGACAAATTAGTGTTGGTAACGCTGAAAGCTAGACACCTATTAAACTATTCATTTAACACTCATCCATACCATGCAATCTAATATATTATATAAATTAATATTTGTTTGTTTGTACGACTTCAATGCATTCATGCCAAAGTTTCTGACAAATAGAGAAAATGAAAAGAAGCACTATAACGCAAGCCGGGCATAGCTTATAATTTATAAATAAAGTGAAAATTCGCTTAGCAGCACGCATTTAAAAACCCAACGTTATAATCTAGCATGTCCAATAAAAAATAAATTGATATCACCAAATATTACTCAAAAACGCAGTTGCTAATTTCGAAGACAATTACGGCATGAATATGAATTATGAAATAATAAGAAAGACTCCTTACGTCGATGATCCTCTTGGTGGAGTTCTTCACGTCGACACTAATAGAGAAGTCCAGGAAATAGTCAACGGAGTAACCGGCCGCGCGGAAGCGGTAAACCGACTCGTCCCAGGAGAAGGAGCGTTCATCCCAGGAGTCGCCGTCCAGTACTGGCCAGCCACCAAGACGACGAAGCATATCCAACAGCGGCTGGACGCCGCGTGCTTCGATTGCGGCTGTAAACACGTTGCAATTAATTCTTGTCCCTATTTTGTGTTTATTTATTTGTTTATACAATATTTTTGCACTGCCTCTTACGAGTACCAAAGAAGACAAAGCGCGGACTGTCTTTAAACATCATTTTTCTGGTTCACAGACTAACAAGGAACGATAGCGAGAAGATTACGCGTATTTTAAGGGAAGCCTAAATCATGTTCAACATATTGTAGGAATACGTACATACACACATACGAACATAAATCATTGACGCAAAATCATAATGAAGGCATCCACGACTTTTTCTGCCACTAGGGCGGCGCCACTAGTAAGTGAAGTATAATATTTGACAGATTTCATGGCGGGGAATTTAATTTGTTCGGAAAATGTAAATGTTAATGTTTCTTTCTGTACTTTTAGTCATATTTTAAATTAATAACATAAAAAAAATAAAACAAACCACAGATATTCATAAAAGTATAAAAACACTGACGCATTGTTTTGTGTATTAATACTCTATAAACATCTCTCTACAAAATGATAATATTTTATTAAAAATCAACTTCTCAATTAAATTACATTGTGTAACAAAAAACTTTATCTCAGTGTCAACTAGCAACATCTGGAGAGCAGAAAATTATTAGCTTTCACTGTAACCAACAACTAGGTATTTAATATATAGAATAAGAGAGTGACAAACAAGCTTATGGTCCACCTGATGATAAGTGGACATGATGGCCCATAGACATCAACAAGTTAAAACGGTACTTTTTTGTAGAATAAGGGTGACAAACGAGCATACATTTTTAAACGTGGTAGAGCCATGTTGCAACTATATTAATAGTGTAGTTGTAGTACGAATGGGTCGGCTCGACCGGGAAGGACCACGCTCTCACAGAATACCAGCGTAAAATAGCAGCTTGATGCAGCTGTGTTTCGTATGGTGAGTGTAGAGAACCGGTGACCCATTTTACTGGAAAAGAGGCATTCCATCTTAGTCCTCACGGCTGACAAGGCATCTGCATTTTAATTCGCATACGAAGATAGATGTAGATGTCTATGGGTCACAGAAACCATTTACCATCAGGTGGACTGTGTGCTCGTTTGTTACCCTTATTCTATAAAAAAAAAATACAATGCACCTGACGGTAAGTGGACGCTGTAGCCCCTGGACATATACATTTATCCTCGATCAAGAATCAAAATACAGAAGCGTTCCGTAATAGCGTGGTCCCACCCCGGTATTGAACCATTCGTGCTACAACCATAACATAGCAGCATGGCTTTAACACTTAACAAATGGTAAAATTAATAAAAAAAATTGTACTTGTAATTTATTGTTAATTTTTCTGAAAACACTATAGTTGACCGGGAGAAAGATTGCTCAATGAGAGCTAAAACAATCTTCCGTTCACCAGATGTCGCTCATTGAGACTGAAGTGAAGTTTTTTGTTACACATTTTCAAATTGAGTAGATGCGTTTTAAATAAACGTTTATTGGTTTCTAAAGTAATAAATAAATACACAAAACAATGCTTCACCGGTTTGCTCTTTAATTTTTTGCACATTCTTAAGGTTTTTAAATATTTTCTAATTTAAGGAATACTCGTAGTATGGCTTGTTGTTTATTCATTGTTTATCTGATTAATATAAAATATAACAAATATTACAGTAAGAAACATTAAACCTTACATTTTCCAAACAAATTAACTTCCCTACAATGCAATCTGTCAAATATTTCACCTCATCGGTGTCGCCCTGGTGGCAAAAAAGTCGTGGATGCTCCCATTAACACAGTGGTGCTCTAGTAGAATACTGTGCAACTGGTTCGATCCTCCGGCGTCACATCACAACGGTGCTTGTGCTCTAAATAATATTAAACAAATGGCGGAAGTGACGTCACCGCGTTCACTTTCACCCGTAACCGGTGAGCGCAATATACGTGTAATTGTTAAGTACTGACAGTACTCGTAATTGTGCACTCGAGACGCCGAGAATAAAAAGTTAAAATTAAACGCGTAAACATCTGGAAAATTAGTATCATTTAATGTGTAGTGCTCGCGTAATGATGATAAGAAATCAGTAATTGTATTTAAGCGAATGAAAACTGTCAAATTCCTCTTACTCGTATATTCCTTTCCTCTTATCCTCTTATATTAAAAAAAATATGTTTTTTTTTAAAAAGCAAAGGAGCATGCTGCTACCGCCGCCAATGTACTACTGCAACACCAGGGGAATTGCAGGTGATTTACCGGCTTTTTATAAAATAAAGTTGCATTGGTCCGGAAAAATCGCTGGTGGTATTCGATTCCACGAGGAAGTTATGCGAGGGGAAAAACTTCTTGTAAATCGCACAGTGGTGGACCGCCAATCATCCAGATGGTATGGATGGTATGGTGAGTTTAGTTGAATTTTGTAATTTAACGGTTGACGGCGTAGTTTAGCGGCAGCAATTAGTTTTTTTAATTTATCTTTGTTTAAAACGAGGTTCCTCTGTCCATAGAAGAAACGGCAAAAGAAACTCTACAGGTATCCTCTTTTTTGTTCTTTTTTATGCCCAATTATTATTTTTCTTATCATAAATATCGCAGATACTTAAAGCATGCATGTTCTATAATAAAAGTACACGACAAACATTTACAAAACTATTGTTGAACACGTTTGTTTCCAAACCAAAAATATGAGTAGGTATCTGTGGATGGCTTTATTATTAATTACCACGTATTATTAACTGTTTCTTTCCAATGGGCTAGACTTGTTTTGAACATAGCTCAGAATCGTGAAAAAAAGGTTTTATATTAAAAAATTATACCATTTAAATAAACAAATGTCTAATATAAATTTAGTAACGCTAACTTAATTACCAAACGGTAGATTCAATTTGTCAATATATAATTTACACATACTTGCAATTGTTGACACTTGGTAAAACCCCAGCTTCATTTTTGTGATTTCGATAAACAGTTGTATTAGTTTCACAATATTTAAATATTCAGAAACTGGTACAAGTGTTTAATCAAATCAGAAAAATAAATTTGACAAGTTTGAAAAGTAAGTATTTAACGTCATTTGTTTGATATGATCTTATTAATAAACTATCTGATTCATTGTTCAGTACCTACCTACCTTCAGTACCTACGTAGATTCGGGTAGAATCTACTAGTTAGTCTGTAGTAGGTAGTGTGCAACGACGCAACCAATAGAGGTAAAATTGGCTGTCCTAAAATATAACAAAAGTACTAAAATAACTAAACTAAAATACTGCGTTAATAATGACCAACAATTTGTTAATGATATCTTTTTAATGCCTCTACATTTTGAAATGCCATGCTACAGCTAGGTATATTATAGTATAACGAATGGAACGGCTCGGCACTAATTATTTAAGGAAATGTATGGCAGCAACCAAACGGCCACCAACTCAGCATTATACTATAGTAACAGAGTTACTGCGGTGTTGATATTTTGTCGGAGCCTCAATTAACCGTTTAAACAAATGAAAATTATACTCACTCCTGTTCATGCAGGCCTGGTACAAAGTCTTGGCAAGGACAAACGGCCGGGGTTCACCAGGGGTGACGGGCTCATCCAGTAGTGTCCTGATCTGTTCCTGTAGCTGGTCAGTGATAATTGAGAAGGTGTTGACTGAAGTCTTGTCGTCGGGGATTCGTGTGTTCTTGACGAAGGAGCCGCAAGCGAAATCGTAGAAGTCATCGCAAGGATCAACCTGCTCGTCCATGTTGAGGAGGAGTTTTGAAGCTAAAACAATAGGACAATGATACATTGAAATTTTGTATAGATCTTTTATTATCTCTTTCTCTCTCTCTCTCTCTCTCTCTCTCACACACACACACACACACATACACGCACTCACACACGCACACGCACACACAGATACACACTCTATATTGAAACCACGACATTAAAGTCACATTATTTTTTTTTTATAGAATAGTGTGCAAACAAGCATGCGGATCACCTGATGGTAAGTGACTACCGCCGCCCATGAACAACCGCAACACCAGCGGAATTGCAGATGCGTTGCCGGCCTTTTAGAAAGGTGTAAGCTCTTTTCTTGAAGGTTCCTAAGTCGTATCGGTCCGGAAAATTCGCTGGTGGTAATTGATTACACAAGGAAGTTGTGCGAGGGATAAAACTTCTTCTAAATCGCACAGTGGTGGACCGCCAATCATCCAGATGGTATGGATGGTAACGCGAGTTTTTCCGATCCGAGACTTTGTTAAGCAAAGACTAGAATTCAGACACAAGTTTGTCCCGGTACTCGGCGACGTTTTTCCGAGAAATATTGGCACGGCCGGTATATAAGGCATCACCAGTGCTATCGTCTGCATAGCAATGAATGCTACCAGTTAGCAACATATCATTGATATGCAGGAGAAACAGCGTTGGTGATAGCACGCAGCCTTGTGGAACACCAGCGTTGATAGGCTTGAAATCAGAGCATGCATCGTCTACTATGACCTTGATGCTACGATCAGCAAGGAAACTGGTGATCCATTTGCACAATTTCTCGGGAAGCCCATAGGAAGGAAGCTTCGAAAGAAGCGCTTTGTGCCAGACCCGATCGAAGGCCTTCGCTATGTCCAAACTAACGGCCAATGCCTCCCCTTTGGACTCTACTGCCTCCGCCCATTTATGAGTTAAGTAGACTAGAAGATCACCAGCTGATCGACCCCGACGAAAACCGTACTGGCGGTCACTAATCAGCTGGTGATCCTCAAGGTACCTCATGAGCTGGCAGTTTATAATGGATTCCATTATTTTGGAGAACAAGGAGGTGATGGCGATAGGCCTGTAGTTGAACGGGTCTGAGCGGTCGCCTTTTTTAGGGATCGGGTGGACCAAAGCTGTCTTCCATGAATTCGGGACTACGCCTTGGGAGTAGGAGTACCGGAAAAGACGCGTTAAAACGGTGCCAACTCCGGAGCACACGTCCTCAGCACAATTGGGGGACTTCATTGGGCCCACTCGACTTGCTGACGTCCAGGGAGAAGAGTGCTTTACGAACCGAGCGCTGTGTAAATTGCACATCCGGCATGGAGCACTCACATCGCGGGATGGTCGGCGGTGTGTTCCCCCATCATCTAGAGTCGAGTTGGACGCAAAAAGAGAGCTCAACAGACCGGCTTTCTCCTTTGCGGCATGGGCCAGTGAGTCGTCCTCTCTGTGCAGAGATGGAAGAGATGGCTGACAGAAGTTCCCTTGGACAGCCTTGGCGAGAGACCAATATGCACGGGTTCCCGAAGGAAGGCGAACTAGCTTCTCGCCAATTCTGCCGATGTGCTCAGACCTTGCCTTGGTAATGACGCTTTTGAAGGACCTGGAGGCGGAATTATACTTCTTTTTAAGTGCGCTGGTGTTTACATCCCGAGACGTTGATGCGTCAGCCCAGGCCCGGTAACACTCCTGCTAATAGCGTGATGCTATTTTACAGGAGTGACCAAACCATGGCTAGGATCTGCCTCCGATGGGCACCACAGAGGATGGAATAAAAAGTTCCATACCCTGAAGTACCACATCAGCAACAGAATCGGCAACAACGCTGGGATCTTCCGGCGAGAAGCAAACCCGCCCCCAAGGGTAGGATGCAAAAAAAGACCGCATCCCGTCCCAATCAGCTGACCTATAGTGCCAAACACGGCGGCAAGTTGCAGATCGCAACTGCGATTGGAGCGTGAGTGGCACCGTACTCCGGATCAGACAATGGTCCGAAGAGCCCAGAGGGGCATCGACGGAGACCTGATATCCGTCCGGATGAGAGGTCATCAGAAGATCCAACAGGGAAGGTACATGGTGTTCCACATCAGGAATCCGCGTAGGCGAAGTAACCAGTTGTGTTAGACCATATGCCAAAGCAAAGTCATAGACAGATGTACCCGCATGATCGGTTAAACGAGAACCAAGCCATTCAACGTGGTGGGCATTGAAATCACCGAGTATCACGATCTCTGCGGATGGGACCTGTTGTAGCACGGAGTCTGCAGCCATTTGGACGTGGTCGATGAGTCGGTCTGTCTCGGCATTACCGCTATGGGACCTATAGAGGCACCCGTAGACGCGGGGATGGTCGTCGCTGTCTGCGCAGCCATAGGATAGACAGGTCCGTACCTTCAAGACTGCCGAGGCGTCGAAACCAGATGTCCTCTCTGACGTATACGCAAACTCCAGCCCGGGACACAAAGGAGTGTTCTAGTTTGTACCCCGGGTAGGAGAGATATGAAGTATCAGCTGGAGAGGACACCTGAGTCTCGGTTAAAAAGAGCAAGGCCGGCTTCGCCGTCTCTAGATAGTAATGGACAGCGTTAAGGTTGGAATGAAGTCCCCTGATCTTGCAAAAATTCACGGATAGCGTGACAGGGGTCGCTTAGGTTGTATTGCTCCGCTTGCCCCGAGCAGCATTAGTCGCGAGCGGAATTTTGCCCCCAGAATACGCGGGGCAGCCTGAGCACCCACGCGCAGGAGTCAAGTAGTTTGGTCGTGGATGTTCAGCGAGGGATTCTCCAGGGGTGCTGGTACCCTCCTGGGGTAGTCTTTTATTTAATTCCACTACCATGTTGATGGGGGGGGGGGGGTAAATTGGGCCTCCGGCCACCTGCACTCACCAAGCGTAACGCAGAGGTAAACCTCTACTTCACACTGGTATTCTGTGAGGTCGTGGTACCACCCCGGTTCGAGCTGGCCCATTCCTGCGACAGCAAAAGCTACCGCTTGGCTCTACCACTGTTAATATTCGGTTTCACTGCTGTTCCGGTCTGAAATGCCAGTAGGAACCTATAATTGCAGGCTGTGAAGCGTTCCAATTTAGAATTCAAAGCTGATAACGCATCTGATAGTCTTCTTTTTTTGTAGTTGGCTGCAGGTGCCCATGGGCTGCAATTGCCACTTACTAGACTGTAGATTCGTTTGTCACTTAGATATTGTTATTAAAAAAATATAAATACAAGTAACCCTCACCTGTGTGGACGCACCCCGGTGTGTTGCAAACGTCGTCCTCGTTGAATCCTTTGGAGATGACTGCAGGCGGCATGGATGGAGAAATTCTCAGTTCACTAGTCTGTGGCATGTCTAAAATGCAGACACAGTGTGTGAACGAAATGAAACAGACAAACAGAAGCACACGTACATTAACATATATATGCTTTGCAAGACGCCAAGTGAATGAGTAATGAATTTTAAACTAAGTGATATATAAGTAACTAAAATTAAAAAAAAAAAATTACACCTACTACAATTTCTCTCAGTATTATGAAGGTGATGGTGATTCACATTAAATTCTCAACGACAAACAACATAACCTGACCAATTTATAAGTGATAGAGTCATGCCGCAGCTATATTATGTTAGTATCTCGAATGTGTCGGCTCGTCTGAAGAAGGATTACGCTCTCACAAAACAAACATACATTTTAAAGTCTTCCGAAAAAAAAGAGCTGATGATCTTCAAACGGCTGAACTGATTTTAATGAAACATGTCTGAGAACCACCGTTAGAAAACCTGCTTTTAAATTAAAAAGAACTGCACGCAAATCGGTTCACACGTTTAAGAGTAACGGTGCCACAGTCACACACATACACATAGCAGTGAAACTTATAACACCCCTCTTTATGCGTGGGGATAAAATAGTAGCTTAATGTACAATGTAGGTAATATTGTCTTGTGAGTGTAGAGAGAGATCCGGAGACCCTTATTACTGGAAACAAGGCATTCAATCTTAGTCCTCAGAACGACAATGAATTTTGATTTCGAATGCGTTTAAGAATCGAGGATAGATGTAGATGTCTATGGGCCAAGCCATCGAAATACCACTAGGTAGACTGTGTGCTCGTTTGTCAACCTAATTCTATGAAAAAAACCAGGGACAGTTATTTGAAGACAATACAAATACTTATTCTGTCCCGGAGACGAACCTTTTTTGCTTTTTTACGTGATAGAGCCATGCTGCAGCTATATTATGAATTTAGCGCGAATGGGTTGGCTCAACCGGGGGAGAACCAGGCTCTTACAGAATACCAGCATACCATACCAAACACATGGACTGCTGTGTTTCATATGGTGAGTGTAGAGAACCCGATTCCCTTGTTACAGGAAAGGAGAAATTCCATCCAAGTCCTTAGGCATCTGCATTAATTTTTGATTCTTAATCGAGGATAGATGTAGATGTCTATGGTCCACATCATTCATTTACCATCAAGTGCACTGTGTGCTTGTTTGTCACATTTATATTATAGTTTCTTTTAGAAAGAAACCATTTTCCATCCAACCGTCGTTTTTAACATATGGTTCCGTATCTCTAAATTGAAAAAGACGAAATTATGTTTTACTTTTTGGTGTATAGTGAAAATTATTTGAAATATAATATCAGGCAATAAGGTCTATAACTAACACTATAAAAATATTTGTTAAATATCCGTATATCTATTTCTATTCAAAAAAGAGGCTTTAAACCATACTCCGTCTCGTCCCTATACCGTCGAAAGTCCACTGCTATATCGTAAGTGGGTTTGCCATGGTTGCCACGCTTGGCAAGTGGGTTAGCAACCGCAGTCTTTTTATATTTTTATTGTTATTAGGACACGAAACGGTAAACGGTTCTTTTTACAGCATACTGCTGTTATTATGTCTGAAAATATCCTTATTTATTTTTAAGAAATTCAGAAACGGTGGAAATTTCAATTCAATTCAATAACTCAAGTTAACTAATTCACATTTTCAATTCAATAATTATAAACTTTTAATGTAAAGGTACGGAACTATAGTCTATTATTTTAAATATATTTAATGACTTGTTTACGTTAAGGCGACTTAAGATCTCCTAGGTTTTTTTTATTATACTATAAATTTAGCGTGCTAAAAATAGCTGAACAAAGTTATTTTAAACAAGTGTGTATTGTGTACAATGTAATCTTCGAATCGTTTAAATATTTTTTTTAAAATGGCATAGATGCCTAGATGTAATCACTCCATATACATAATATTAAGATTTGTTATCTTATTAGATTTTGGTGCGTTGAAAGCGCAAACATTTTCTCATTATTTACAAGATCCCAATCTATCCCGATATTACCTACAATATAATAAGGTAGGTACTTATATTAAGTACGTGTGTCAGAATCGAATATACATATTCATGTCTATGGGCCACAACCCACAGCACCACTCACCTACACATAAACTATATGCGAGCGTGTCAATTTTTTAAATATCAAAACCTATATAAACTTGTCGGTGAGCAAAAGCAGTCAATTATTGGATTGAAAATGCATGATACTACCCTAACCTTTTTTCTTAATGAACGTATGTATGAGTAGATGCATTTCGAATAGCTAGCCACAAGATAATGCTATTACATTCGCCCGCAGAACATCGATTGTGTTAAATATTTACCGCTGAAGTCGAAGAGTCGTTGCGTGACTGCCTGCTGGCAACTTGAGGAATAAATAGAAAATATAATTTTGACACGCCTACCGAATGTTTATTTATTTATTTTAACTTCTACATTACCTAGTACATTGTACGATAAGTTTATACGGAGGAGAATTTTTTTTTTGAAGTGAGACTGCTTTGGAATCGTGACTTTGAAGCTCGATGAAACGAAAAAGTCATACTAAAAAGAGACAAACATATACATCTATAGGTTTTAGCCTGTGAGAGAATGAGATAGAATACAATATATAGTTTCCTATTATCTAGGTTTCCTCTTTGTGTGTTGTTAAAATAAACAGATGAAAAATTCAATAAATACAATTAACCATATTGAATAAAATTAGTATCATAATAATGCTAATAAGGTTCTGGTATTTGAAAGGGACGAAGAGAGAACGAAGTGTGAAATATGGGTAAATCAGGAATGTCTAGAACAGGTAAATGAAATTGTATACTTGGGGAGTGCTTTTAGCCGGGATGGAAGATGTGATTTAGATGTGGACAGGCGTGTCGCTGCCGGGAACAAAGTCAATGGTGCCCTGACTGCGTTAGTCAAAAGGCAAGGCGTAGTGAAGAGTACCTTGCAATACATAACGCAGTGTTGGTACCGACTTTGTTACATGGCAGCGAAACCTGCGATCTCTTCGTAAAATGTGCGGCGTTACCATGGCCGACCGAAAGCGAAACGAAGAGTTTCGCAATATGGCAGGTTTGAAAGATGACCTTATCACAAAAATTGATAAGGGCGTGCTTCCATGGTTTGGGCACGTTGAGCGAATGAGTGAAGACCGAATGGTGAAGAAAATATATAGCGCGAAAGTTAATATTAAAAGGTGTCGAGGTAGACCGAGACTAACTTTCGAAGACAATGTGAGCAAATTGCTCGAAGAGGGGAGGGTCAAGAGTATTCGGATACCTAGACGTGCATGTATGAAGAAGATAATGAATTTGAAAGAAGCGAAAGAGGTATGTAAGGATCGTGAAACTTGGCGATCTGTTCTCTCTGGCAACCCCGTCAGGGATTGTGCGTGAAGATAAGTAAGTAAGTATAAGTATCATAATAATCAATCCATTCACAACAATTCACGATGTCATAACTTACCAATTTATATTAAATTAGTAGTGTATTAAGCCACCTAGCGTTTATTTTACGTACCACCTTGACATGCAATCAAGTTTTGTTCGATAGACGGACTTTACCTATACTTAGAATGAATTAGATTATATGACATTATAAAGCAATTTTGCTTGCAATTTACTGAAGATTTTCACTTTTACCGCGTGTGAAATGCACACATGGTTTTTTTTAGAATAAATAGTTAACGACAATTCCTATGACAACGTTTCATTATTATAAACGTTTTGCCACGTTGTTACGGTTACGAAAAGCAAAATATTGAAAGATAATTTAAAATTAAACATTTTGTACAACCAAATTGAATTACGAATGAATCAAAAACTATTGGTAAGACCTTGATTAAATTTATATACAACCACGTGAGAAGTACCAGCTTTCAAATAAAAAAAAATAATTATCGATATCAGTTCACCCAGAAAAAAGTACACATAAAAAAGAACATACAATCGAATTGAGTCCTTTTTGAATCGGTAGAAAAGAAAAAAAAACAGAAACATATTGAATTCTTATATTTATGAGAATACTATATAAAATGTCCTCCAGAACGAATTTGGTCACGGCGGCCAGGCTAACGGAGATTAGCCATTGCCGCAGGACAGGATTACCTACACTTTTTATTTCCTCAGTCTCACAGTTCAATGGGACAGTAAACCGGCACGACCGGCAAATAGATGAGGCGTGCTTTTCAAGGCACGAGGGAGATCAGATGAGAATACTCATTGAATTAAAACTAATTTTACAGTTTTTATCGTGTTTGATATTAACACTTTGCAGCAATTTACTTAACCGAGTAAATTATATAATATTAACTGAAGATAGCCCTGAGTAATTATGACATTTGGACGATGGCCCTTGACCCCTTGACCATAAGTGCTGTGAAGCACCTGAACCGTCGATAATTAAAAAAGTTTAAATTAAACGCGATAAATAGAAACATCTTTATTTGAACCTACCTACCTAATACATTGATAAAAAAAAGTACGTAAATAATTCATCGTTGACGCCGCAAAGGGGCGAACCTTAATTTTTCAAAATATTACAAGAGAGCAAGAAAACATTTATTATGTTAGACTTAATGGAAAACTACAAATAAAATTAACTTTCTGATGAAAAATTGAGGTTCGCCCCTTTGCGAGGTTAGCGACGAATTGCACTACATGTCTATAAACTGGTCCCACGTACGCATTACGCAACGTACGGACGCACGAGTAATTACAAATTAATGTTTTCTTATTCTGGTGGTGAATTTGATAATAATGCACTTTGTCTGATGTTCATAAACGAATATATGCACGCTACAATGACGAAGAGTTTTCTTTTACGAACCCAATGTTTTGTGCATCTTAAGTTTTTAGTTAAGAAGCGAAGATATTTAGTTTGGAAATGTAGTGTATAGTAAATGAACCGGAAAATTATACTAATCGTTTTTATTCTCTGCAGTTTCGTATGTCAAACTTGCGATAGTGATATTTTGCGGGAGTAATTTGCATATTTACGGATTATT